CTCTAAAATAAACATTTGTTCTTTTAGGTAAATTTGTCCAAGAAAATTTGATAGTTAGAAATGTGAAAAAAAAATAACTTGTATTAAAAAATAATTTGGATAATTCTGGAAGTGAGTTTTAATGTGTTGTTTTGTTCATTGTGGTAAAGAGGCTTTGTTGAATATTAAAAAAAAAAAGTCCAGTCTGGTGAATGTCTAAACCTAAGCTGGTCTGAAAAATGCCTGCCTCTTTCTTAAGTTTATGACCCTTGTTTTCATCTATTTATTGCATATTTCCATCTGGAAGGTCTAGGAGGTAATTAAATTCATGTGTATGTACAAATTTTTTAAATTATAATACACATGGAGATAAAAATTGGGGCCACTGCATAAGTCACAAGCCTTGCTCACCTCCAACCCCTAAGCTGCTCCATGTGTCCTGCATCAGCCCCTTTGGGCATCTGGAATGGCAGTGCCACCCCAAGCCCCCACCCTGCCTGCAGAAGCAGGTTCCCAGACAGCCGAGCCCGCCACGCCCTCCCCTCCTGCTCCTTCCTCATCACATCCCTCTAATCTAGCCTGTGTCCAATCCCTGAGCTGCGTCAGGCCCCACACCGGTCAGACATTCTGAAAAAAGTGACAATGTGGGAGCCCTGGGTAAAAACTTCAATTATACAATATGGTATTATCAACTATAGTCACCATGTTATTCATCAGATCCTCAGACCTTATTCATCTTACAACTGAAAGTTGGTATCTTTTTGCCAACTTCTCCCCATTTCCACCAGCTACTGTCAACTGTTTCTATGAGTTCAGCCTTTTTTTAAAAAAAAAATTTCTACATATAAGATACCAAACAGTATTTGTCTTTTAAATGTCTCTGGCTTATTTCGCTTAGCATTATGAACTGAACTAATTATGGATCCCTCAGCTCCCTAGGTGATATCTCATTCTAGTCAGTGATGCTCTTTGAAAGTCTCTGACTTGTGCCTGGACAATGGAAATACCCATTACTGCTGCTTTGTGCAGCCCGAAATGCATCCACTTACCCTGGCCATATTTTCTTATTTAATAGAAGTGCTCCTTTAATCCCTCTGTCTAAGGCTGTTTGTCCCAGGGCAGACACTGTTTACAGAATTGTGCTTAGTCTGAGGGCACTGGCTGATGCTTTTGTTGATGGTGGAAGAATAATGGGAGCCTGAGGCCAAGTATTTTGACCAGATTATTTCATGTTATTTGGCAAGAAATAGAAGACAAGTAAAAAGTGAAGCCCAACTGGTGTGGCTCAGTGGTTGAGCATCGACCCATGAACCAGAAGGTCAAGGTTCCCTTCCCAGTCAGGGCACATGCCCGGATTTCGGCTAGATCCCCAGTAGGGGGGCGTGCAGGAGGCAGCCAATCAATGACTCCCTCTCATCATTGATGTTTCTATCTCTCTCTCCCTCTCCCTTCCTCTCTGAAATCAATTAAAAAATATTTTTTTAAAGTTAAAAGAGGGAACCAACGAAAGCTTCCCCTCTCTTCTCCACTGTAAAGAGCAAAGAAGCATAGATGGGAATTAGCCTTGACCTCGTCTCTTCTTGGCTGCAGTCAGAGTCAAATAGCAACAGGCCCAAATGAGCCTCACCGAATTTCAAAAGCTAGAGAGTTCTTTTTACTTAAGAATACGATTTTTGTTTTAGTCTTCTACCTCACAGTTCTCTCAAAGATTTTCCCTTTCAGATCCATGCTGCACTATGACAATGAAGAATAACTTACTGGCTCTATAAAATGTGAACTCAACTGTCAGGCTCACTTCTCTGGGCATGGAGGATCTTGGTCTCATAGTTAATCTAGGGTGAAATTTTACATATTGCATTTTTGTTGTTCATATTTACCGCCCTAATTCTTGTCCTTCACTCTGAGAGTGGGGACTGGGAGTATTTGTCTTGAGGCCAAGGGAGAGGAGTGAAGGGTGGGAGTTGGGAAGGGCCCAGGGCAATGGAGAAGCAAAACATTGGATGTTTGTTAAATCTCCGGGGAGTGTGCTTCCCACAAAAAAAGATGAAGGTTTAAGGAATAACTTGGCTAAAATTTGCAATCAAAGCAATTAATAAAATTGTTATACTAGTTGCTTTAAATAATTTTTTAAAACTTTCTTTCTTGAGCTATTATGAAATGAATGGAAATAATCCCCGGGGAATTTCACATCAGTATCTCATTCTCTCGCTGTCACCAAATTCAACTTTACATTTATACATGATAACAATCACAGTGACATATTTAATCCTCTCTTGTGTATATTTTATGTAACACTGTATTCTCCTGTTCTATAAAGTTTGGGAAGAGTGTGAAGCTGGAGCTGGATGCTCCAGTTACAGTGGAAGTCTGTGAGCTGGTGCTCCCTCTGGTGAACCATTTTTGCATTGCACATACTTTTTTTTTTCTTTTTTTAGTGCAGGAACACTTCATTCATAGGCCAAGAAACATCTCATAAAGCCAAGACCAATCAGGAAGTAAACTCAAAAAAATAGCTGCATGATCAAATATGCATGAATCTGATAAGATTGAACTGATTGTATTCACCAGAATTCTCCTAAAGGAACTTGTTAAAAGTAATGGCTTGATAATAGCTTGGAATGGCAGATAAAACAGCAAGGGACTTCTCAGTAATAATTATTTAAAACATTTGTTCTGATTGATAAATCATGGGGAATCTGGATTTGGAAATTTGAGAGGGAGAAATTCTACCTTCACCTTGGGGATATTGCTGCATATTAGAGTAGGAGCCACAGAAAAAACATGCTAACTAGTGTCTGAGTGACCCGCTTTGGGTAACCTGAGACGCCAAACCCTTCCCTAAACCCTTCAAGCCTTCAGCAGAGAAGACAGAAAAATAGTGGCCTCTGAAATAAACCTAAGAAAATATAACAGACATAAACCTCGAGCTTGGCTATGAACCTCTCTGACATTTTTAAGGAGTAAGGAGAGTAAGGTGTGAGTCAAAGAGGATGGCATCTGCTTTGGCACAGTCAGTCAATTATTTGTGGAGCTTAGAGAACATCTTTTTGTGTTTCTACAGAGTTGGGGCTTTCTGAGTACATTTTGCTAAAATAATAATAATAATAATAATAATAATAATAATGGTCCGATTCTGAGCTAAGAGCAAGTCTCGGGAAGTTAATTTACAACTTTATAGATGTGAGAGATCCAGAGAGAGAACTGCGGGGGGTCTCATGGTATGTGTTTGCATGGCAAGGGAAAATGAGGCCCAGGACTGTGGAGACATCTCCAGGTTATGAAAGAGACACCAGGCTCCTGTGGCCCTTGGAGGGATATATTTACATTCCACACAATTCGAGAGGGAGCCCAGCACCCTCTCCATCCCATCTCCAGGAAGCAAAGGTTGTCTCCCTCCTTTCGGGCAGTTGCCTCTATCTCCTGGATACAAGCAGAAGAAACCCATTTTTCTCTTTCTCTCACCTGTGGAGCATCTGGCCACTTGTCATTCTAGGGCAGGGGAGGGGAAACATTTTGACTCGAAGGCCACAATGGGTTCTTAAACTGGACCGGAGGGCCGGAACAAAAGCATGGATGGAGTGTTTGTGTGAACTAATATAAATTCAAAGTAAACATCATTACATAAAAGGGTTCGGTCTTTTTTTTTTTTTTTTTTTTAGTTTTATTCATTTCAAACGGCCGGATCCGGCCCGCGGGCCGTAGTTTGCCCACAGCTGTCCTAGGGGAATGCACTGGAGAAAAAAAGGAGTTTGGGTTTGAGACACCCAAATGAAAATAACAATTAAAAAGACAATTGGAAATGAATGTCAAGACGTAGGTATTGGAAAATAGATTTGTAAATCCTAAAAGCAGTCAGTTGTCTATTTGCAGATTCCATATCTGCAAATACACCTACCCAATAAAATTCATTTGTAACCCCAAGTCAATACTCTTAGGGCTTTAGTGATCATTCACAGACATGCACACGGAAGCAAAGAAAATGAACTGCCCAACGAGAATATTCCCAGCTGAGGGCAAACGAGAAAATGTCCTGCCTTCTTGATTCAGCTGTTGTACTGTAAATAAATGCGCAGTCTATTTATGTCATCATTTTTGCATTTTTTGTGCATTTTATTGGTAAACGCGCTGTTGAAAATGGCCCCAAGCGTAACGCAGAACTGCTGCTTGCAAGTCCAAGTTCCTAAGCACAAGAAGGTTGTGATGTGCCTTGCAGAGAAAATGTGTTAGATGAGGTCTGTTCAGGCGTGAGTTATAGTGCTTTTGACTGTGAGTTCAGTGTTAATGGACCAAAAATATACATTAAATAAAGTGTCTTTCAACAGAAACTGGCATAAAAGCTCTCTCATCCATCCTCAGTGTCTTTATAGTCAAAGAGAGGACAGTTCCACCCCCTCCCATTAAGCGGGGACTGTCTGGTAACAATAACATTGCCTGCAAGCTCTATTGCAAATAGCATTTTATTATCTGTTTGCATTATTCTTTTCCCCACTAGATGGTGAGTTTTATATTGAGTGGGACCAGGTTTTACCATTGCATCCAGGGGGCATACAAGTGCCTGGGTTAAGAGGAGAGTTTAAATAAACCTCAGATGAACGGGGAGGGTTTAGTAGAGTCTAGTTCTGACTGCAAAGAGCATTTATGATGTTCTTTATTCCCAACACCAATTTATGCTTTGGGGCGACATGCCACCCAGTCCACTAGGAAAGTAAGGAGGCAGTTTTGCTCAGAAAAACATCCAAAGGACGTTCTCATTGTTTAGTTCAAAGAACTTGCAAGTCTCTGCTGCCCCCTCTGGCGGCTTACAGAATCTGCAGGGATGCCTCGGGGTACAGGAAGCTCTTGCAGAGGCCTCTCCACGGAGAAACTGAGCCAATCTCCTTTAAGGAAAAAAGGGGGCTAGGACAGGTGGGGTAGCGCCCGAAAGGAGGGGCGCGCACCGGCGCAGGAGGAAGCGGGGTCGCGCGCGGAAGCCGGACGCACAGGGACGGCCTCCCCCGTTGCCGGGCAACCGGCCCGGAAGTTGCGGGAGGCACCTCTTCCGCAGGCGCTGGCACCTGCGAGCGGGTCCAAGATGGCGGAAGGCGGCGATGCGGGGCCGGGGGAGCCGGACCGACCCTCTGGGCCGAGACCCCCGAGCGCGCGGGACTTGCAGGTGCCGCGAGCGGCCGAGGCGGGGCCTGGCGGCGGGCGGGGCCGCGGGCGGGGCGTGTGGGAGGCCGACCTGGGGACCGCATTGGGACTCGGGCGGCGCAGCTTCCGCGGGTGTTCGCGGGATCAAGTGTCCGTTTCCCCTGCGCCCCACTTGCAAAGTGAGAAGGCCCCGTTCCCTTCAGAGCGGCGTGTGGTGGGGGCGGCTGAGTGGGTCCGCGGCGGGCGGTGCGGGGCACTGGCCGCGGAGGGGAGGCGGACGGTGCGGAGGGGAAACCGGCGCGCGCTTAGAAAGGAGTAACAGGTGTCGGGCTGGATCTGCGTCCCGGAGGCCGTTTCTGTCTTGAATATAGACAGAAACCGTGCTTTCTGGTCAGGTGGCTTTTCCCTTTTAAGGGAGGAACGGAAGGCTTTCCCCCCAGGGGTGCCCAGCCTGGCGGTGGGAGTGGCAGCCTGTGCAGCGTTGCACCTGGGAGACGGGGCGTGGAAACGGCGCGAAGCTCTAGGACGCGGACGGGAGGCAGCTACTCAACAGGCTGCACCGGACTCTGCCTTTATCGGATGCTTAACACGACTTGGCTCATTTTAAGCTTTTTTTAATTTTTATTTTTCGGCCTCCTTATGAGATCATTGATAAACTCCAACAAGTGGCCGCCTATAGCGAGCTGCCTAATGAAGCATGAATGACACTGAACGCACAGCCTTGGTAGAAAAGTTCTGTTACTTTATAGTCCCACCTTCCTTCTCTACTTCTCTGAACAAAGGCTGACCACCTGCCACGGAGCAGAGCTCTGGGGATGCTGAGGTACATGCATAGGGCATCACACCCACGGTTGGTGCTGGACACCGTTGAAAGGGATACAATGGAAAAGGACATTTCTACCTTTTTTTTTTTTTTTTTTTTTTTTTACAGAAATAAGATATGAATATATTTTGGGCAACATTTAAGATGGCATATGATGGCGTGCCAAAATAAGCAGTGCATGAAATGAGGACTTGGAGAATGGTAAGGTCAGGTTAGGAGATGAACCAGTGCCCATAAGTCAGTTCAGTAGGAGTAAAGAGCATCGAGGACTAGCAAAGCTATTGTCTATCTTACTTTCTCCTGTAGACCGCCCTCACAAGAGGCAACGTGGGATGATGCTGGGGGAAATGGAGATTCCGGTCAGGGCAACTGCGGTTAGCATCTTGGTCCTGCCACTTAGCCGTTGGGTGACCTTAGGAGAACTTAACCTCTCTCATGCTCAGTGTCTTTATTTATAAGCTAGGGGTGATGTTATTGATCATTGATCACCTGGTTCTTGGCAAATTTACCAATAATCCAGTGGATTAACACATGATTAATGATCAGATATTCTGATAGTGCTACTACCATCAATTAGAAGATAGGGTTTTTGTTTTATTTATTTATGAGCTAGAGGCCGGTGCATGAAAATTCGTGCACTTGGTGGAGGGGGCGGGGATCCCCTCAGCCCGGCCTGCACCCTCTCGCAGTCCTGGGAAATCAGGCCTAAGCTGGCAGTCAGACATCGCTCTGGCAGCCCGGGAACCCTCGGGGGATGTCCATCTGCCAGCTTAGGCCAGCTGCCCAGGAGATCGGGCCTAAGCAGGCAAGCGGACATCCCCTGAGAGGTCCCAGACTGGGAGAGGGCGTAGGCCGGGCTGAGGGAACCCCCCTCCAGTGCATAAATTTTGTGCTCTGGCTCTCTAGTGTTTAATATTAACTTAGAAACAAGAGAGCTATGAGGAAGAACATAAAAGTAATTCATAGAGCCCAAATAATATAATCAGCTCCAGAGGAAATCCATAAAGGGATATTCTTTTGAAGAGATTTCAGGGAGGTAAAATTCCCAAAAACTTTGGGCCCAAGTTGTCAGTCACGGCGTCTGTCTCTGTTTCTGTCTCTGTCTATGTGTCTCTCTCACTCTCATTTTTGTTGTTGTTGTTTTTAAGGGATAAAGTAGGGAAAGGGCGTAGGTGATATACAAACAGCACTGCAGAAAGAAAAGAAACCTTGGGGAAAATGAAACACTGCTATAATCATCATTAAACATTTTTAAATAATATCTCCTAGTAATGGAGCACTTGTCTTACACTTTACATACACTATGTATTCCATAAAACAACCCTTTAAGATAATTTTTTAATAGACATTTAAAGATGAGGGGAGCTCTCACAGAAGTTAAAAAATTTGCCCACCATCACAATAAGAGCATAAGTTAGGATTTAATTCAGTTCTTTTTGATTACAGAGCACTTTTATAATTAGGATGTGTAGCAAAATTGCTGTTAGAAAAATGAAAGCTGTTTGATCTGGGTAGAGTGAGGGTAAAAATTTAGGGAGGAAAAATAAAGCCATTCATTTCTGTTTTCTAATGTGTATATTTTAAAATTTTATTAATAGAATCTTCAAAGAACTAACTTTGCCCCAATTCCCTGTTCTTTTCCTTCAGAGGAAAGAAACCCTGGAAGTAGTTTTCTTATCTCTTGTGTTTCTAGAAGGAGTACCTTACCTGTTTTTTGTGTGTTTTTGTTTTGTTTCTTGGTTTTTGGTTTTTTCTTTCTCTCAAAGATTATGGCCATGCCAGTTATAATTGAACTAGAGGCCCGGTGCATGAATTTGGGCATGGGTGAGGTCCCTAGGCCTGGCCAGACATCAGGGCCGATTAGGTTCCCTGTCTCCCCGCCTCCTCCTTCCCTCGCTGCCTGCATGCCGCCACCATGCGGTTCCCCACTTCCCCGCCTCCTCCTCCCCTCACCACCTGCCACCACCTACCCCCGGTTCCCCATCCCAGCCCAGGGCCCAGCCCCGACCTGGTGAGCAGGATCTTCCAGCCAGGGGGAGGGGCCGGGAGGTTGGCTGCCAGCCCTGAGGAGGGAGCCAGCCCTCGGCCCCCTTAGGAAAGGGATCGTGTCCACCGCCACCCACCCCTGGTTCCCTGTCCCAGCCTGGGGGCCTGGACACAATTAGGTGATCGGGGCCTGCCAGCCAGGGGGTGGGATCAGGAGGTTGGCTGACAAGCCCCATCGGCGATTGGGGCCTGCGGGCTGGGGGCAGCTCCTGCATTGTCTGCCTGCCTCCTGGTGGTCAGTGCGCATCATAGCAACAGGTCATTCTTGTCGTTCCATTGTAGCGGTCGCTTAGGTGCATACACACACACAGACACATATACACACACACACACATACATACATACACTAAGAGGCCCGGTGCACGAAATTCGTGCACTGTGGTGGTGGTGGTGGGGGGCCCCTCAGCCTGGCCTGTGCCCTCTCACAGTCCAGGACCACTCGGGGGATGTCTGCCTGCTGGCTTAGGCCTGCTCCCCAGGGGGGACCAGGCCTAAGCTGGCAGTTGGACATTCCTCTTGCAGTCCGGGACCCCTCGTTCCTTACTGCCTGCCAGCTCGTTGCTCCTTACCGCTCATCTCGCTGGCTGCTCCTTAGTGCTGCCACCGAGTCAGGAGAGGCTCTCGCCACCTCCACTGCGCTTGCCAGCTGTGAGCCTGGCTTCTGGCTGAGCGGCGTTCCCCCTGTGGGAGCACACTGACCACCAGGGGGCAGCTCCTGCATCGAGCGTCTGCCCCCTGGTGATCAATGCGCATCATAGTGACCAGTCATCCTGGTCGTTCTGCCATAGCGGTTGCTTAAGCTTTTATTATATAGATAGATAACCACAAGGGCATTAAGGAAAGTTTTTCGAGTTGTCCAAAAATATCAAAAGGGGGAACAAAATAACTTAATACTGAAATATTTGGTTAACTATTTAAAATTCCAATTTCAAGAACTGTGTTTTGTTTATTTCATTTTGCAGATAGCCATCCATATATCTATAATGCATAATTTGGTAGTATTGCTTTCTAAAAGTTATATAAACCATTTATGTAATTCATTGTCTGTCATTTTCCAGCAGCTTAATTTCCTAAACTTTCTGACACTTAATATGTCTGGTAGGCTTTTAAAAAGAATACTTTAGAAATTATTCTGTGTGTTTGGATTTTGAAAACTTGAACAGCTAAAGGAAATAATTTTTGACATCTGATGAGAGCAGGTTGTGAAACATCTTTAAAAGGATTGTAGAATTTAGGTTCAGCTTTGAAAATGATGTCACCAAATACTGTTTTTTAAACTGTTGCATAGTTATTTGAAAAGAATTAAATAATAATTTTAATTTATTCTAATATCTGCAGCATTTTGGTTTGTTTTATAAAAGAGGAGTATGCATTGGTTTTATTTTGAAAGAGAGTAAGCAGTGGCCTTCATTGGAGCTCTTTACTGTGCACTTACAAGTTAATGTTCTACTCATAATTTCTAGTTGTGTGGGAGAGTTTATTTCTAGTGTTACACTGTATAACAAATCTGTTATTTTATAGTTGGCCTTGGCAGAATTGTACAAAGATGAAGTGAAATGCAAATCTTCCAAAACTGATAGACCTAAAGCTTCAGTCTTTAAAAGCCCACGAACACCACCTCAAAGGTAAGTTTTTCTCTTGTTTTTAAAAATTTTATCCCTTTTTAGTTCACTAATCCCAAATTATTTAAATGGCCTTGAAATCTTTTAAAAATAAACATTATCTAGGTTTTTCAGTGAGGTCTTCCTCACCAATACCCCTTCCTTTCTTTATCATTTTCTCTCCCTTTCTCTTCATCTTCCTTTCTCATTGCTACCTCTCTGTTGTACAGCTCCTAATACTAACGCTTGTCTTACAAGCCAGCTATGTATGGTGCCAGATGGGTACTGGAGGTATTGAGGGATCACTTTGTAAAGTATATGATTATCTAACCACTATGCTATACACCTTAAACTAATTCAAAATAATATTGAATATGAACTGTAATTTAAAAATAAAATTGAAAAGAGAAAAGAAAAAAGAAAAAAGAGCCACCTATGGTAGCACGTGGACCCTCAGTATAAGCTTGGCAGGAAAGCTTCCAGTGGCTCCTGCTTGGGGTAACCTGGGCCTCAGTGTATTGCCTGGAGCTCTAGCAGGATGGGGGCAACCCCACCTCCACTTCCCCCCTGCCCTCAGCTGTGTGAGCCAGCCTTATGTTAGCTTCCATTAGTAGGGTCTGCTTGCTAGTATCCACTGGTTCTCCAGGGGGGCTTTTTCTTCACTTACAGTGAATTGAGAGCTGGTCTGCCCTTCCCTCTCTGTTCAGTTTTGCACATACTAATTTTGGAGAAAGTGTTGAAGGTGACCTTCATTCTTTGTCTCTAGTACTGATATAATTTGCCCACTTTTTTTTTGTGGGTCAGTTCAGTGCAGATTTGAAACTGATTTGGAGGGAATGGGTAGTTAAAAACATGAGCTCTGATTGTCACCTTATACTTGAAGTCTCCATGTTGATATTTCATAGGTTATATTATCTGTTATTCTTGATTGAAAAAATCTTAAAAGATAAAATAGGATACTAATGTAGAGGCAACTTTATGTTCTGGAAGACCGTTATGAAGTTGGAGTGAGTAGAAATCAGTTTTTACATAGTTAATACACTAAAAAACTTGTTTGTGGTCTAAATTATTTACCTTTAACACAGGGTTATAATTTTTTAGTCCAGAGAACTCTTAGGAGTAAACCCTCTATGTGTAGCTCTGCAGTCTAGATCTAGGTGTTCACTCTCTCTAAAGGTCTCTTCACTAACGAAGTCCCTAGTGATTGTAGATTCCTCAGGGAAAAGACTTAGCTTCTGGTTGCCAACACTTCTCCCCACCACACTCCAAAAGCGCATTTATAAGTGATTGCAAAGAATGAGGGAGGAAGAACCAAGCCGGTTCTCATGCTACATGCTGAGCTTGCTACAGGAATCTCTGCAAACTCCACGAGAAATGATATGAACTATTCACTATTTATTCCTTAATCCTATTTTTAAAATTAAATATTTTCACGGAAGGCATATAAATTATTCTTTTTACATTAAAGTTATTTTTCTAAGACTAGCTTTTTACTTTAAAGTAGTTTATGTCTGTATTCTAAGTTTTATTCACAAAGTGTAATGTTTAAAGGTTCTATTCAAGTGAGCATGAATACAGTGGATTGCATCTAGTTCGACCTTCAACTGGGAAAATAGTGAATGAACTTTTCAAAGAGGCAAAGGAACATGGGGCTGTCCCTCTACATGAAGCCACAAGAGCTTCAGGTGATGACAAAACTAAGGTAAATGCTCAATTTCAAAACTAAGGATGCTACTTATCTATTTGATCTCCTCTATAGGTTTTTTAAAAATTGATTTCAGAGAGAGAGGAAGGAAGAGAGGGAGTGAGGGAGGAGAGAGAGAGAAAGAGAGATTTGTTGTCCCACTTAGTTATGCATTCATTGGTTGATCTTGTATATGCCCTGACTGTGGTGTGAACCCGCAATCTTAGCATCTCAGGAAGACACTCCAACCAACGAGCTACTCTCCCAGGGCTATAGTTTGTTATGTTATTATATAACACTATTTTTCTAACTGTGTATTTCTCCTTTAAATATTTGATTCATTTTTATAAGGTTATAATCTTTCTATTGATGATTGACAGTTGAGGCAGTTTCTTACATTTCTATGCAACTTCTCTATTTACCTTTTTATTTTGAAATAGTTATGCTCACAGGAATTTGCAAAAGGTATACAGAAAGGTGTTGTGTACCTTTCACCCAGTTTTCCCCAATACCCTAATGGCTAATGATGTTATTTGCATTTTCCTAATGGCCTATAATGTTGAACATCTTCTTGGGTGCTTATTTGCCACTCTCTTTATTTTTCCTCTTTAGTAAAATGTCTCTTCTTTACTTTGACCCATTTTCAAATTGGATTATTTGTTATAAACAAAATTGTTTGAGAGTTCTTTATTTTTTTGTGTGTATATTTCCTCCTAGACTGTAGCTTGTCTTTTCATTCTCATACCAGGGTTTTTTATAAAGCAAAGTTTTAAATTTTGATGAAGTCCAATTTATCTTTTTTTTTTTTTTTTTTTTTTATGAATTATACTTTTAGTATCTTGTCTAAGAACTCTTCACCTAACCGTAGGTCCCAAAGATTTTCTCTGTGTTATCTAGAAAAGTTTTATAGTTTTCCGTTTAAACCTGTGACCCATTTTGAGTTGATTTTGATTAAGTTTAAGTCCAGATTCTTATTTCTACTTGTGCAGAGGACGAATTGCTCCACCATGTTGAAAGGCTCTTTTTCTTTCATTGGATTATTTTTGTACCTTCTTCAGTTTCTGCAAAACTTTCTAGATGCAGTATTGGTATACTAAAGTTTATTTTTGTGTATAATTGCCATATCTATAATAATAAAAGCATAATATGCTAATTAGACTGGACAACCTTCCAGACAAAGTCAGGGCTGCAAGGGAAGCCTGGGTCCCGGGTGCTGGAGGGAAGCTGGTGCTAGCAGCTGAGGGAAGGAAGGCCTACTCTTGCACAAATTTTGTGCATCCGACCTCTAGTGTTCTCATAGTTAAGATTTCCCAACCTGATTTCTCTTGTCAAATCATTTGGGGAGGTTTCCTAAACTACCACATAGTCAACTGGCCAGGGCAAAAAACATAACTTCTTACTTGAATATACCTCTTGTGTTGTAACATAAGACTTTAATGTTAATATGCTGTTTTCCTGGAAAATATAAACCGGTTTGACTAATTATAGTTAATTTAGTTTTAAAATATATATCACACACTAGAGGCCCAGTGCATAAGATTCAAGCACATGGTGGGGTCCCTCAGCCCGGCCTGCGGCCTCTCACAGTCTGGGACCCCTCGGGGGGATGTCCGCCTGCCAGCTTAGGCCCGATCCCCCAGGCTAAGCCGGCAGTCAGACATCCCTCTCGCCATCGGGACCCCTCACTCCTTATCGCCCACCTGCAGAGAAGGTGGCAGAGGCTCCCGCCACTGCTGCTGCGCTTACCAGTCAGAAGCTGGGCTTGCTTCTCCTTAGCACTGCCTTGGAGGTGGAAGAGGCTCCCGCCACCACCGCTGTGCTCGCCAGCGGTGAGCCTGGCTTCTGGTTGAGCAGCGCTCCCCCTGTGGGAGCACACTGACCACCAGGGGCAGCTCCTGCATTGAGCATCTGCCCCCTGGTGGTCAGTGCGTTATAGTGACCGGTAGTTCTGCCGTTCGGTTGATTTGCATATTAGGCCTTTATTATATAGGATTATTGCAACATACTGCTTAATGAGCCTTACAGAATTTTTAACTCACTTGCTTTGTATTTTAGTCCTTTACAGGTGGAGGATACAGATTGGGTAATTCCATTTGTAAACAGTCTGAATATATCTATGGAGAAAATCAGATGCAAGATGTAGGTACAGTAATCAAAGTGAAAGATTATAAATATTTGCCTCTAGTTACTACTGTTTATTTTAAAATTAAAAGTTGGTAATATAAATATCTTTTTGTTTTCTTAATTTGTAAAGCAGATTAAAAGGCCTAATTTGTAAGTTTTCAGTCTCAAATTTTATCTTTTGTATCCCTAATGTGCCTTGCACTTAGAGATACATAACTATTTGTTGAAAGAATTGTATGATTCACTGTAAAATAAGCTTATATATGTATGATGATGATTATTATAAATGGTGTAGTTATGACATAGAATGAGCAGAGTTGTAAACATAGCAATACCTAAGTCATTATTTCATTTACCTTTTGAAATTTCGGAGTTATAACTTTATTTTAAACATGTAGTTTAGCCTTGGCGGGTCCCTAGAAATTCTGTCTTGCACCTTGGAATGAATATTTAAGTTCTGTATTAGAAAATATGGACACGGAAGGAGAAGGTGGGTGCTGAGTACAGCTGAATGATCTCATTGCTTTTGTTTTCTCAATGAACTAGAAATAATTGTGCCTTGAAGCCAGGGCCCAGGTGTGGGACCTGTGGGACCTTTGGTGTTTCAGCCATGGTCCATTTGTTAAGCTAACTACAGATCTGCTTAGCAGACACACATGGTTTCACGTATGTCTTTATTTTAACTGTGAATAAGGAGAGTACAAATAACTCCATATTTTAAACTAAGTAAGTTGTTTAAAATTACATTTAAAACTTAAGATTGTTTGATGCAAATAGATTTTTGTATTTTCTTTATCTTTATTTTTTTTTCTGTGCTCAAAAGGTTCAGATTTTGCTTAAGTTGTGGAGCAATGGTTTCAGTTTAGATGATGGAGAATTGAGACCGTACAATGATCCAGTGAATGCTCAATTTCTGGAGTCTGTTAAAAGAGGGTAAGCTGTATTATTGTGTTCTATTTGTTATTCAGGGTGGGAGTTTTTTGTTTTGTTTGTTTTGTTTTGTTTTTGTTTTTTAAGCAGAATGCCATTCAGTAGGACTCTACTGGTATCTAAGAATTGGATTATGTAAGTGACTCCTGGGGGAAGGGTATTTCTAAGTATATAAAGGACATATTATTGTCTATAAGTTACTGTTTTCACCTGTGGGGAGTGGGAAAGCAGTAAGACATCGTCCCTTTAAAAATCTGATGAAGCTATCTATGGTCCCAACTCTAAGAAGAACCACCTCAGTATAATCAATTAATTGATTAGCATGTAGTTGCCATCCACTAAGCCACTGTCCTGCTTACTGTTGACAGGGTGACTCATTGCATGTATGCCTGAAATTCAGCAGCTTATATTAGAAATCTTTTAAAGTGGCATTACTGCTGGCAGAAGATTTCAAAAGGTTAGTTTGAAGTTATAATTTATGAAAGTAAACCAATATACAGTACTCTGACCCGCCTTAAGAACATCATAGCTCACTAGCCCTTACTGAAGAATAAGATATTTTACTGAGATATTGGTGATGAACTGGGAAATTTAAGTAGCAGTAAAGGGACTGGAGTAGGAGGTTATACTCCACCCAGGAACTGAAGACAGGGCTTTTCCAAGTGATGAAATATATCCAAGTGGAGTAGAGATGAAACTCATTGGAGTTGAGATAGTGAAAGAACACTCTGGAGAAAGGGTATTTTAGAACATTAATTAGCATGAATTTTGAATTTGAATTCATCAGAGATAATGTCAGGATATCAAAAAAAGGCAAGAAATGCTGTAAGCTGTAGGCAGTATACTGAAGTCATTGAGAAAGGTGGGAGGCTGACCTGGGAGGCAGTATATGATAGTTTAAGTCAATGCTTCGGACTGGGAACCCTGCAGAGTCACTGGGAAGAGATGGGAGTGATGAGTAGGGAAAGGGTTCATCTGCTAAGTGAAGATCAGCAGTACAGTTGAAATTGATGCTTATTTCAAGATGGTAGAAGAAAAGAACTTATTGATGACGAATGTATTATAGATGAAAACTAATTTGTTAAGTGAAAATAATGTATAAACTTTGTAGGCTACTGTTCACACAGTATGATATACTAATTTTTTAAAAAATTTGAATCACACCATATTCTCAAACAAATTATGATCAAGAATAGTTTTAGAAAAAACTCCTTGAAAGCAGTGATTGATATCAGACAGTGATTGTCAGCTATGTAATTGTTGTTCCCTTTTTATAACAAATATTTTGTAATACATCTTCAGTATCTCCAAAGAAAAATTCATAAGTCTATGTATATTATTTCCAAAAAATTAAAGTAAATTTTATCTTACAAATATTGAGGGACTAAAAGAAAGTAATTCACCATAAAATTATACATATTTCAGTTTCTAAATACCCAAGTATGACCACACCAGAAGATACAACAAAGCAGCCAGATAATTTGCACTTATGTGCAGACTAGCACTTCTCACATAAATGTGACAGGCATAAAAACAGAATAGGGAGGTATAGGAAGTTGGCAACTTCATTACTATAAGTGGCAGTGCAGACAGGGATTTGTTCTAAACAAAAGAAGTTGCAGTCTTCCCTCGTTTATATGGAAGATGAAAATTGCAAAGCATATTAAAACAGTACACACACAAAAACAGGTTTTGAGGTTTTGCTTATATGTAAGACAGAGCCTAAGCCTTGGGTTTTAGGCTCAGACATTATAAACAGTGTCATTCGTCATCATATGACTCTCTGGCAGGGTATTCAGTGGTTCTGTGGAACCCGAGACAAGTCTTCATTGTGCAAGATGGCTCCCCCGTGTCAGAGCATCATTCATCCCCCGCCCTGACTGGGCAGCAGCACTCAGCAGCCACACAACAATCAAAAATATCCCTATCATTTTGAAAACCTCTTCCAGGAGTTTGGAAAGAAGTATCTGCATTAACTGTTATGTCCTCATAGGAATTTCCTAGTGTTAATTTAGATAAGAATTGCTGCCTTGCAATTTATCAGAAGCACTCCAAGATCACTATGACAACAAAAAATCTCTATGTTGAGAATCTCTAAGGAATGATGTGATGCAACTTCAAGAAAGAAATATCTATAGATAAAGAAATATCAATCATCACAGAAACGTTTATATTACAAATTTATGCAAAAATTGCGGTTTTCCAGTATAGCTCACAACTTGATTATATCAATATCAACACTATAGATTCTTCTTTTTTTTTCCAAAAGTTAACTAAAACCTTTTTCCCTTTTTTAAAAGAGAAATTCCCCCAGAGCTTCAGCGACTGGTTCATGGTGGCCAAGTGAACTTGGATATGGAGGATCATCAGGATCAAGAATACATAAAACCCAGATTGAAGTTCAAGGCTTTTAGTGGAGATGGACAAAAACTTGGAAGGTAGAATCCTAAAATGAGAAAAATACTTGTGTGTGTTCAACATGAATTTCCTTTGGGAATAAAATATATCAAAATAATCTAGAAAGTAAAAACTAAAACTTTGCTGATGGAATTAGATATGCAAATCTGGTGTCAATATTAGTAGCTAATACTTACATAGCAGTTACCACATTCTTGGCCCTCTGAGCACTTTACATACATTAACTCATTTAATCTTCACGCCACTTTTCCCTGTGGACCCTGTTATCCCTCCTTTTGCAGATGCAGTATTTTGCCCACATTGATTGAGGTGGGAAGTGATGAGCATGTACGATTCAAACCAGGAACTCTGGCTCCAGAGTCTGTGCTTTTACCATTAGACCATCTTGTCTCTATCTAATTACATAGTGTCAAAGGGGGGGATATTGGAAGGGGTTGTTGATTAGATAAAACAATAGATATCTTAGATCATAGCTTTAAGCATGCTTAGGTGCCACTGAGCTCTTGCAGCAAAGCATTGTGCTTAAGTTGGTTTTTCTCAATACATTTTAAGCAGCCAAAGTCTTTCTTCAAGTTACGAAGCCCAATATGTATTTAAAACACATATGAAACCTGAGTTCCTCTGGTTGTAAGAGAAGGAGGAATTATCTCAGACATTTCCCAAGGACCCCTTGGATTCTGCTGAGCATAATTTAGAAACCAATGTGCATGGTATAGTGTATGAGTGGACTCCTTTATAACAGCCTGGCTTAAAAGACTCTTCATAAATCTTGTAAAATAAGTTAGTACAGGTTATCCTCTATTTGTCCACATTATCACTACAGGTGACCTGTGGAATTGATGCATCAGTCATGTGTCCCACATACCCTTTTGTGCACGTTTTATTCCTTTTCATATAATTCCTTCCCTTCCGAGTTCTTTTCATTTGCATTGGGCACACTGGTTCTCTATTCCCCTCTCCTCAAAATAGGAAAGAATTCAGTATTCGTTCTTTATCCTTGTCTTTCATATCTTGAGTCTCCATTTCTGTATCATTTTCTGCTTTTGTTATTGGAGAAAAACGTTCCTCATCCTCCCCCATCACTAGTGGGAGTGGGGTTATTGAGGTACCGCTGGAATGAGCATTTCTGGAGACTTCCACAGGAGGACGAGATATAGTAGGAAACTTTATTTCTATGGAATTACACCACTCAGTTTCCAAAGTCCCATTTCCCTTAGTCCAGTCATAGAAGGAGTGTAGCTGGGGTTTCAGTAAAGCTAAAATCAGAGCCAGGGTCCAGAGTTTTTGTTCCATGTTGGAGTCGGGTCCAGTTCAGTATCAAGCTAGTTGCAGTCCATTAGTCCATTGTGTGTAGGGGGCCACATGGTCGTGGGCCACATGGGAGAATGCAAGGAAGCCAAGTGTGCCAAGAGCATAAGAGAATGAGCTTCTTTGTTTCGGGGATTATATATCCCAAATTTCCATGCACTTGCAGTGGCCACACTCATTCTGGCCAACCATCTCTGTCACCAGGTGTGATTGACTGGCAAATACCTTTCCTTTGTCATCCCAGTTTTACTGGGCATGCGTCTATCTTCCCTATGTCCAGTCCTCTCTCCCCAGTGTTTTACAGGGAACATGCCTGTAATGTCTGGCCTTCGCTTTTCAGCATTCCTAGCCTATCTAATAAAGCGGGAATATGCAAATTGACCATCACTCCATCACAAAATGGCAGTGCCCAGGCCCCTCAGCTCCGCCGGAGGAGCAGAGGCAGGCGGCGCAGCTGGACCTGCCCCCAGAAGTCCTCCAGTCCATTCAGTCCCACTGGCAGCTAGCTGGTAAGCAGGCCCCTCAGAGAGCAGACAGCAGGGCCTGCTTGCAGGTTGCTGCAGCGACCGGGCAAGCAGGCAAGCAGGCCCTGCAGAGAGCAGAAAACCACGGGGAGTGGGCCTAAGCCATCAGTAGGACATCCCCTGAGGGCTCCCGGATTGGAGAGGGTGCAGGTTGGGCTGAGGGAACCCACCTCATGCATGAATTTTATGTACTGGGTCTCTAGTCTATATATATAAAAGCCTAAGCAACCGTTACAACCGAACGACCGGAACTACCAAAATGACAGGTCAACCAGTTGCTATGACATGCACTGACCCCCAAAGGGCAGACGCTCAACGCAGGAGCTGTCCCCTGGTGGTCAGTGCGCTCCCATAGCCAACCTCCCAAGCCGGCCAGCCAACCTCCCATGGCCCCTCCCCCCCCAGCCGGCCAACCTCTTGTGGCCCCTCCCCCTGGCTGGCTGGCACCCCGATAGGCCCGAATCGCCAGCCAGGCTGAGGAAACCCACCCATGCACGAATTCGTGCACTGGTCCTCTAGTTATTAATAACTAGCTAATTACAATGCCATCATTTTTAGAGACTGATTTCTGAGACATGTAGGAAATACAAATACATATATTAACCTGCCTTTTTTAAAGACCCAAGCACATCCTTCAGTGCCCAGCAACTAGATTTTGTTTGATAAAGTGTTCTAGGACTTACTGGTACAGGCACACCTTGTATTATTGCACTTTAGTTTATTGAGCTTCATAGATGGTGCATTTTTTTTACAAACTGAAGGTAAGACCCTTCACCAGCAAAAAAGATTACGACTTGCCTTACTGTGTTACACATTTTATTGTGATACTCGCTTTATTGTGGTGGTCTGGAACCAAACCTGAATCTCTGAGATATGCCTGTATAATGTACCTTTGTACCCCAATATTTCCTCCATTTTACAAATGACAGAGCTGGGATTCAAAGAGATTAATTTACTTAAGTTTACACAGTAAACATGGCTGCGATTTGAAACCAAGTCTGTCTGTGCTCTTAGTCATTCTTTGATGTTAACTCAAAGTTGCTCAGATTTCTGACTAAAGGCCGGTGTTTGCTAAACAGTTCCATGAAATTTCAAAGGGATAAAGAAGGAAGGAGTACACAAATAGGCTTTTTAAAGAGATTGGATAAACTAAATCAAAATCATAGGGTCCAAAATAACTGTAATATAATGAAAGAGCTTGGAAGAAGTATAGGAGACCAAAGGGGCCATGTTCTTGCTAGTCCAGAAGCCAGAGGAGGGGCTAGCTGGAGAGTCAGGAATCAGTCTCAGTGGTTATGCCACTGTCTTCAGTTTGTTACATGTCTTATGTGTTTGCATTTGTTTTCTAACTCTTTCATTCTTATTTCATAGCCTTACCCCTGAAATTGTCAGTACACCTTCCTCCCCAGAAGAGGAGGAGAAGTCAATACTTAATGCAGCTGTTCTGATTGATGATTCAATGCCAACAACAAAAATTCAAATCAGGCTGGCAGATGGGAGTCGTTTGATACAAAGATTCAATAGTACACACAGGTAAGCTTCTAGTTTACTCTCACACATAGGGTTACTGATCTGTGTAAACTGAATGTGACTGGAGTAATGAAGAATATGGAATTCTTTAGATATGCAGTAAGTTTTTGACAAAGGGGAAAAAAAAACTTTACAAGGGTAATAGCTATGTGTAAGAAGTGAAATACTTAGTAATTAAACATCCTTTGTAAACTCCAAATAGTAATGCAAATCCAGGTACTACTCAAAAAAACAAAATCATTAAAAGCTGCAGTTTTGCACTGTTGCTAAAACCACATAAAGTGGAATCAGATTTAATTTAATATTAAAACCTTATTTGGACTTTACTCATATAAAAATTTATGGTAGTACTGATTGGGTTAACTTTGTAATATAAACTTTTACTGTAAAGTTTAATTGTGCTTGTCAAGTACTTCAAATAAACCATTTTAAATGCCATTTCACCATTCACTTGTAAATTAACACTTGTGCTAATACGATTATTTTTGTTTATTGTGTGCCTTTGCAGGGATACATTTATGATCTAAGTTGAGTATTGTGTATATGTGAAAGAAATTCTTTTTTTACTTTAAATCATTTTTTTATTTTTCAATTACAGTTGATATACAGTATCATTTTAGTTTCAGGTGTACAATCCAGTGATTAGACATATATCATTTACTAAGTGATCATCCTGATAAATCTCATACCCATTTCTCACCATATATAGTTATAAGAATATTATTGACTATATTCCCTATGCTATATACTGTATATCCCCATGACTATTCTGTAACTACCAGTTTGTACTTCTTAATCCCTTCACCTTTTTCACTCATTCCCCCTCTCATCTGGCAACCGTCAAAATGTTCACTGCATCTATGAGTCTGTTTCTGTTCTGCTTGTTCATTTGTTTTTTAGGTTCAATTATTGGTGGATATGTATTTATTGCCATTTTATCGTTCATTTTCACCTGAGATGGGCAGTCCAGTTGCCTCCCCTATGTGTACACCCTCCTCTTGTAGTTGATTGCTGTTGGCACCTCAATGGGAGGGATTTACCCCCAGCTGATAGACTGCGAGGACTGGCTGGGACCACCATGGAGTATCAGCTGTGCAGGGACCCACCCACAGAGTAGGACTTACTTCAGTGCAGCTCTGTTGCCTGCTGAGTCTGCCATTTGAGTTTGTCACTTGTGGAGGTGGTTGGGTGTTACTTCTATGTGATCTAAAGCTGCCCATCAGTTGTGCTGGCTGTGGGACCTCCTGGGAGGTTCAGGCCAAGGTTAGCCACCCCCCGTGTTTGCCTGGGGCCAACTGGAATGAGTTACAAAGCAGTCTGCTGATGGCTGCTACGTGTGCTGGGCTTGGAGGTGCCCAGGAGAGGGCAAGCTGTGGACCAAGGCTGGGTGCCACCAGTGTCCGGCCTGGGGCCACTTAGTGAGAGGTAAAGGGCATGCCAGAACCAGATGCTACTCATTTGAAAGATTTTAGGAATGTGTGAAGCATGAGCCAAGACAGGCTGTATGGAAAAGCCACTGGAATCACTTGGGTAGGCCTGTAAGTTGGGTGGGCCTACAAAGTGGGTGGGGCTGGTCTCAGGAAATCACCAGGACAGGACTAGCAGTGTTAGCCAATTTGGTGGAGACTCAGATGTGGCAGTCACCTGCCAGTTCTATGGGGGGAGGGCTCAGGAAAGGAGCAATGGCCTCTGCCAGCACTTTTCTCCGGGGAAAAACTACCCCTCCAGCTCTTTTCCTGCTGCCACCCCACCCCATGTCAGACAAGTCAGTTCTTCTCAGTATGTCCCTGGTAGCTTTCAAGCAGCTGCCCCAGTGCTGGAGCTCTGAGGAAGTGCATTCAAGTAAGTCCATGCACGGGCCCTTTGGGAGGAACTGCCTGTGGCCCTTAGTTGGTTAGAGCCTCATCCCCTTACACCAGGGCACATACAAGAATCAACCAATGGCCAAAACCGGTTTGGCTCAGTGGATAGAGCGTCGGCCTGCGGACTGAGGGGTCCCAGGTTCGATTCCGGTCGAGGGCATGTGCCTGGGTTGCGAGCATATCCCCGGTGGGAGATGTGCGGGAGGCGGCTGATCGATGTTTCTCTCTCATCGATGTTTCTGGCTCTCTGTCTCTCTCCCTTCCTCTCTGTAAAAAATCAATAAAATATATTTAAAAAAAAAAAAAAAAAAGAAACAACCAGTGAATGCATAAATAAGTGAACAACAAATTGATGTTTCTCTCTCTCCTGCCTGGGACTCCAGAAGCCCTCTGTCTCACGCATCCACAATCCCCACTGGTGTCTATATAGCCAGAAGGTATGGGGACTTCTCAGCATTGGAACCCTGGGCTGGAGGACCTGATTTGGAGCTGGGTCCCTTCACTCCTCAGGGGGGCTGCCGCAGCCAAGATATCCCTCCCACTTTTATTTGCCACATATGAGTGTGGGACCAGCCCCATTCTGCGTCTCCGCCTTTCCTGCCAGTCTCAATGTGACTTCTTTATATTCTCATTGTAGGACTTCTGTTCAGCTAGATTTCAGTTGGTTCTGAATTGTGGTTGTTCTGTAGTTATAGTTTTGATGTAGTTGTAGGAGAATGTGAGTATGGCATTTACTGATGCCACCATCTTGACCAGAAGCCCTGTGTGAAAGTAATGTTTAAAAACTATTCTTATGACTTACACTTTTCATAGTTTCAGACTCACTTTGACAGAGGCCAATTTGAGGTACCTTTCTTTTTCTGGATCGAGCACTGCTAAAATATTTTATACTCTGATAAAAGTAGGGCCTGCACTTTTCATTATAATAACATGGTTGGCATTTATTTTGTGCACAACTCATCTGAAGATTGTCTCTTTTTTACAGTAAAAGTAGATACTAGGTACACTCCAAAGTTAATCCTCATATTGTGTCTTATAGCTAAAATAAATCCATCCATTGAAGTAGTGTAAATTAAAGAAAATTACAACACATTTAAATAAGGATTAGAATTGTGTGATTTTTATTATTATCTAATTTTAGATAAAAGCTTACATGGTAATAAGATTTCTGTATCACAAATTATTTTTGTCTTATTTCTCAGGATCCTGGATGTTCGGGACTTCATTATACAGTCCCGTCCTGAATTTGCAAATCTTGACTTTATTCTTATAACTTCATTTCCAAGCAGAGAGCTAACCGATGAAAGCCTGACACTACAAGAAGCAGGTATTATTAACACTGTGATTCTCCAGCAACTGAAATAATGCTGCTCCTATTCATGTTGTAACACAAAGGAGAGATGATGTGCCATATTAATAAGGAAAACTTAACTTATACAAGTACCAAATTGTTTTTATAATTTATACAGATGCATTTTGGTTTTATTTTTATTTTATCCTCCAGCCTTAGTATAGGTGAATTTGGACTAGGAGTAGATCTTGAGATAAATGTCTTTGAATTATTATTTGTAGGGCTGGTTTATGTTGATAGCTTTTAAATATCCACAAACCAATTTGTTATATGCCCAGAGTTCATGTAACAACATTTGTTGGCAGAGAAAATTAACACAATTCCATTTTGATAAATTTGGTAAAATTTGCAGTAAAGTTTCTTGATGATGCATTGATCAAAAGCCATTAAGGAATTTTCTGATCAAATGTTTTGAAAATTTATCTATAATATATACTAAAGAGTATCTTTATTCTGATTTTGAAATACTTTGATCATGCAATGATTATTTCTCCTATTAAGATATTATACATCCTTTTTACTTACTGACTTAGCTATATTACTGTTCAACCTTGTATTTTATGGAACTGTGAACATTATAAACTTGAAACAAACATAAAGGTCAGCTATTCTTGAGATGTGGTAAACAGCACTTTAAAAAAGAGGAATTATAGTCCCTCCCAGAGCTTGCCTTGATCACATTCATTTATTCAGTCAACACATGTTTCTAGGGGCCCACTATAGATACTAAACTGTTCTCAGTGTCAAAGCCAGAATGTTTTCTACTTCAGAACAAAACTAGTATAGAAATACAGGAATGTCAGTTCTGTCAGGCCCAATGGATCTGAAGAAAGACCAGTGGAAAGGTTTGCATTCCTGCTGAAGCCAGGTATTTCCTGAGTGAGGCAGGTACATCAGGAATGATAGAAAAGCTTGTTCTTCTTCCCAGACACCACGTCATCTTAGGTCACCCACTCCTGGTTAGTTTTCTATTGCTGCTATAACAAGTTACTGTAAACTTAGTGGCTCATGACAGCGGAGATTTATTATCCTCTAATTCTATAGGTTAAACTAGTGTCACTGGGCTAAAGTTAGGTGCTGACAGGACTGCATTCTTTCGGGAGACTCTGGAAGAAGCATTTCCTGGCCTTTTCAACTTCTGGAGGCCACTTGCATTGGTAGGCCTGTGGCCCTCTGTTCCCATCTTCAAAGCCAGCAACATTGTATCTTTCTGACGGTTCTGTCATCATATTTCTATGACAACGGCCAGGAAAGGTTCTCTGCTTTTAAGGACTCATGTGATTACATTGGGCCCACTAGGTAATCCAGGATTATCTCCTCATCTTAAGGTCTATAGTAACCTTAACCACATCTTTAAAGTCCCTTTTACCATGTAAAGTAGCATCTCAGATTCCTTCTGGAGGCTCCAGGGGTGAATCTGTTCTTTGCCTCTTCCAACTTGTAGAGGCTGCTGGCATCCCCTCACTTATGGCTGTATCCCTCCAGTCTCTGCTTCTGTTCTTACCTCTTTTAGTCCCAACTTTAATTCTGCTTTTGTCTTACAAGGATCCTTGTGATTATATTTTGTTTTCCTAGATAATCCAGGATAATCTCTCAAAATGCTTACTATAATTACATCTGCAAAATGGACACATTTGAGCATTAGAACATGAGCATTTTGTGGGGCCATTCTACCTACCACAGTTTACTCCCACCTAAAAGTTCACATCCATCCCAAATAAAGTTACCCCATCCAGAGGTGCTCAAAAGCCTCAGACTATTACAGCATCAACTTCAAATGCAATATCTTATCTGAATTTCACCCTCTCAAAAATTCCAAATCTCAGTTTAATCATCTAAGATAGGTATGAGTAAGGATTTGGGTGTGATTCCTGAAAGATACTTTCTCTCCGTCTGTGAACCTAGAACCAGTTGTCTTCTCCCAAATATGAAGATAGGAAGGCGTAGAATAACAGTGATGGACATTCCTGTTCAAAGAATCAGAAAACGGAATGAAAAAAGGAGCCACCAGTGCCAGGCAATTTAGAAAATCAGCCAGGCACTCCGTTCGGTTTCAAAGCCCGGGCATAGTCTTCTGTGGCTGGCAGCACCATTCTCCAGGCTTGTGGATATCCTAGAGCAGTGGTCGGCACACTGCGGCTCGCGAGCCGCATGCGGCTCTTTGGCCCCTTGAGTGTGGCCACGAAGTTTCAATCGCACTGTATGTGCGCGCCTACACGTGGTATTTTGTGGAAGAGCCACACTCAAGGGGCTGCAGTTTGCCGACCACTGTCCTAGAGGACATCCTTTCAGAGTCAGAACTTCTTCATGAAAGGCAGCACATGTGTGCAGCTGAGTAGTTTTGTCAACTTATTTCTTACCTGTGGAATTCTGGGAGGTCTGATCATCTCTCATTTCACACACTCTCTATACCTTTCCATTTAAGATGGCCATGTCTGCTGGTATAACATTCTCAAAAAACATGTGGATCTTCTGTTTATGTTATGGGGATTCACTGTAGACCAGAGGCTCCTCCACATATTTTTCCTGGGTAATCCCTAACTCTTTCTGACTTTTTCTGAGATGGCTGGAGGGTCTGTAAGTCATACCCTAATCCCTTCAAAGAATCTTTTGTGTGACTAAATACTCAGGCCTTTTTTATCTTTCTTGAGTATTAGCAAAAGTTGTACAACTATCCCCTTATCTCTTTCCCTAGAGTAGGCTTTCCTGAATCTCTTCATTTAAAAAAAAAAAAATGTTTTTATTGATTTTAGAGGTAAAGGAAGGGAAAGGGATAGAGAGATAGAAACATCAATGAGAAAGAAGCATAGATTGGCTGCCTCCCACATGCTCCCTACTAGGGATCGAGCTCACAACCCTGGCATGTGCCCTGACCGGGAATGAAACCAATGTTCTCTTGGTGCATGAGTCAGTGCTTAACCAATAAGCCACACCAGCCAGGCCTGAATCTCTTCATTTTAATGTCTTTTTTCCATCTGAGTAGGCTGAGAATTTCCAAGTTATCAAGTCCTATTTTCTTTATATTTATTTAACAGTTGTTCTCTCAATTTATCTGTCTCCTCCTATATATATATACATATATATACATATATATACATATGTATATATATATGCCTAAGTGACAGTTACAACCGAGCGACCGGAACGAATAGTCAACCAGTTGCTCTGATGCCCACTGACTACCAGTGGGCAGATGCTTAACGCAGGAGCTGCCCCCTGGTGGTCAGTGTGCTCCCGCAGCCAACCTGCCACGGTCCCTTGCCCCTGCTGGCCACCTCTTCCGCCCCCCCATAGGCTCCAATCGGGGGGCTGGCCGGGCAACCTCACAGGGTCCCTTCCCCCAGATGGCTGCCCCGCCCCACCCCCCCCATAGGCCTTGATTGTGGGCCAGGCCGAGAGACCCCACTCATGCACGAATTCGTGCACCGGGCCTCTAGTTTTATAATTCGCAAGAAGAAAGCCGACTGCATCCTCCACGCTTTGCTTAGAAATCTCTTTAGCTAAATATATTAAGTCTATCATTTAAAAGTTATGCTTTCCACATTACCGCAGGACACACTTCAGCTAAGATTTTGCTAGCATATAACTCTAGTCTCTCTTTCTTTAGTTTCCAACAGCATGGTCCTCATTTCCTTCTGAGCCCTCACTGGCAGTACCTTTAATGTCCTTATTTCTCATGACAATTTAGATATTCTCCATGATAGTTTACCCATTCTCTACCATGCTGCTTACCTCCTTTGAGCCCTCACTAGCATTCATCCATATATCTACTAACAGTGTTCAAGGAAATCTTGACTTTTTCTGTCATACTCCTAAAACTTCTCTCATCCTCTAGTCCAGCCGTGGGCAAACTACGGCCTGCGGGCCGGATCCGGCCCGTTTGAAATGAATAAAACTATTGAAAAAAAAGACCGTACCCTTTTATGTAATGATGTTTACTTTGAATTTATATTAGTTCACACAAACACTCCATCCATGCTTTTGTTCCGGCCCTCCGGTCCAGTTTAAGAACCCATTGTGGCCCTCGAGTCAAAAAGTTTGCCCACCCCTGCTCTAGTCACTGCCCAAATTCAAAGCCATTCTGTATTTTCAGGTGTTTGCTGTGGCAGCACCCCACTTTCAGGGATCTAAAAATGTCTTCTGTGCCAATTCGCTGCCAGTTGACTTGATGTGCCAATAGGAGATTTGGAATTCACTTTTCTCAGGGGGCTCTGGATATTTACTTATTTTTAATATGTTTTTATTGATTCTTAGAGAAAAAGGGAGAGAGAGATAGAAACATCAAGGAGAGAGAAATATCATTGATCAACTGCCTCCTGCACGCTCCTACAGGGGATTGCCCGCAACCTCGGCATGTGCCCTGACCAGGAAGCGAATGTGAACTCCTGGTTCATAGTTCACGCTCAACCACTTGGCCATACTGACCAGGTGGGGGCTCTGGTTATTTTAAGGCTGTGAATTTGCCTGTATTAGGGGTTCTAATACTGAGAGTGCTACCGGAAATTCCACAGATAGAAGTGTTGATCCCACCACCACAAAGAAAACTTTTTCTGAGTGTCATACATAGAGTAAGAAGATTATTCCTGTTTTCCCCTCAGAATAGGAAGCCCTGTTTCTTTCCACTCATTGAAAACAACTTGGAGAATATATAAATAATAGTTCAAAGAAGCATTCTTAGTTCAAAGAAGCACTCTTAGTTCAAAAAGATGTCCAGGGATACACTACACTGTCTCAGGAGCAAAATCATCTTTCTAAGGAAATAATCTATTGAAACAAATGAGCATTTTAAATAAAGGGGCATTTTCCTGTTTTGGATTACCAAAACCAGGGGGAAATTAACAAGACCCTGTAATATTTGAAATTTTATTCTTGCAATTTCTTTTTTTTATAATATATTTTATTGATTTTTTTTTTTTTTTTTTTTAACAGAGAGGAAGGGAGAGGGATAGAGAGTTAGAAACATCGATGAGAGAGAAGCATCCATCAGCTGCCTCCTGCACACCCCCTACTGGGAATGTGCCCTCAACCAAGGTACATGCCCTTGACCAGAATCGAACCTGGGAACCTTCAGTCCGCAGGCCGACGCTCTATCCACTGAGCCAAACCGGTTAGGGCCTTGCAATTTCTTTTTATCAGTTATGTAGAGTGCCTCGCACATATAAAACAGCTGCCAGTTTTGTATATAATAGTCTTCAAAAATATACAGATTTTCATTAGGAGAGAAAATTAAACATCTAGAAAGGATGAACAAGACTTTTCCATGAACTACATAGTATTTTGCTTCATTTAGAATCATTTTCCTGATTTTTTTTAACTTACTACAGTCACTGTAACTTTTAAAATCTATAATCATCTCAAAGGAGAATATGTCACAATTAGACAACCATGTGTGAAGTCAGTTGTTTTGCATGATGTGTGTAATCAAAAAGTTTTTAAGTGTTTGCTGACCAATAAAGAATGTTCTCACTGAAACTCATTGAAAATCCTTTTCAAATTTTTCTTGATTTGTAGTTTTATTTGAGTGGCTTAATAGAGTCTTTTAAGGATGAGTAACATTTCCTGTGGTACAGCTTTTAATGGGCAGAGAAGACCCTGAATTGGAGCAATGTTATCTTAATTTCCCATTACTGTTTCTATTTTTATCCCACAAAAATAAAGGTGCAAATTTTTGCCACCGTGGATTTCTGAAAACCTGTCACAACATATATTGTTGATAAAGTGCGTCATGTTTTCCCCTTGAGTTTTTGTCCCTGATCAGTGATGCAAAAAATTCAGTGGAGTAAAATTGAAAATCTGATGGGCTTCATTGAGCTTTTCATGAATCAGGCAGCATCCAGGGCTATAGAAAGGGGCAGGTTTTTAAAGGCAAGGCACGGACAAAAAAAGTTATTTCAGGTCTAGGTAACATATCTATGGGGGTCAGAAAGGGTCTGTGGCAGATTACTTCATCTTCCTGTGAACTAAATGAGGGGCTGTGTAGTAAACCTGACAAGCTCAGGAGGCCACTTGGCAGGCTACAAGCCTGACCTAAAGTAACCACACAGGGCGGTCTGATCACATCTTCCTAACGGGCTAGGTCACAAAGAGTAGTCACAGCCCAGGCCTATCACTTTCTTAGCAAAAGCCATTCTTTACCTTAAGTGAGCCATGTCCATTGTTCTTATGAATCTAAGATAACATACCTTTGAAATGTTAGAGTAATTTCGTTTTATAGACTGCAGAGCACAAGCGCCCACCAGAGCACACCACAGAAGCCCTCATTGTTGTCTCCATGTGTTATAAATGCTAAGTATTTACTACCCTTTACCCACCAATGTAGAAGAAGTATGTGTTTCTCCATTTTGCCTTTTATCCAGTCCTAGAAATTCCCCGCTTTGTTTTCTCCTGTCTCTAATGTACCAGCAATGGACTTCATGTTCCTTCCCTGTGTTTTTTTCTTTGAATTTAAGTGCATGAATGAATGAGACTGCAGAACTACCATTCTCTGGAGCATTTTCTCAGTCTGTTGAGATCTTGCTTCCAGGCATGTTGTAAAATTTGGCTCAAATAAACTCTTACAAAACTTCCCTATAGGTTTGGATGATCTTTCCTCTATATTCCTTTGAGGGGCGGGGAAAGGCCTATGTGGCAGATGACCTTATTGGTGATGGCCGAAAGATTTCACTTCACACTGACTAGTTCTGAAGACACTCCTGGGTGAAGTGGAAGCCCAGTTAGCTTAGGTGTTAAGTCTTGGCTTGCATAGCACAAGTGACTCCATTTGGGGCTTGTTGTTACTTTTGAACAGTGGTCAGGGCTTGTCTTTTTTAATGTCAACAGGTTTTATTATTCTTATCCTAGGATCGGGAATAGTAAAAAGTATAATTTTGAATTTTCTATCAGAATCTGTTATTTAAAGAGGAACAACAAGTACAGATATTCAGAACATCAGTGGGTAAATGTGAAAGCATGAGCATGGTTGAGTACAAGTGGAGTCTTGCTCCCAGCAGCATGGAATCTTCTGTTGGGCCTGACTTCTGAGCATAGTAGGTGGTAGGATGAAGTAAAATCTTATGGGAAGAAATGCTTTTCCTTTCTACAAATCAGTGTCAGGTTTAACATTCCCATAACATTTTTATTAATGTGGTAAAACTGTATGCAAATAAATGTTTTATATGTGCATCATATAAAATGATAACATCAAGAGTAGATCTTTTTCCCATTGAGACCTGTTTTAAATATTTATGATGTAAGAAGATGTTACTATTTGAAATATTGTCTACATAGGTGTTCTAGGGCAATGCAAACTAATCTGACTTTATATATTCTTTAATATGAAGCATTATGTGATTTATTTACAATAAGGAGCACATATCTTAGCGATAACTACTTCAGTTTCACATTTATTGAGGGTTTGCAAAGAGCAGAATCCTGTATTGGCAGCAGCCTGTTGCTTATGGTCAGTGTCACAGTTTGTCATTCTGACCTAAGCGTAAATGTGATTTCTTCAGAGACCCTTCCCTGATGCCCCACCTGAAATCATCCCCACGTCTCTCTCAGTCACACGGAGCCAATCTTTCCCGTCCCTCCCTCCTGCCATGTGCCAAAGCAATTTAGGAACACAGTGATGTCCTTTATTCAAGGGGAAAATAAGCCGTGAATTGGGGGGTATGGTGCCTCACAAGCGTGGAGCACTGTTCACAAAGAATTTGGGGCAAGAAGTGAGTTTTATAGAGCATTAGAAGAGGCAACTCAGACACAGGGCAGGATTGGCTAGGAGGGCAAGAATGTCC